CTCGTCAGCACAAACAAGGCTTGCAGACGTCACAAGTGGGAGTTAGCCGTGTTTATTAGTGTCCCCTGTGTGATGGCAATGAGGACATTTTCAGTTACAGCACACATCCCTAGTCAGATGGGTGCATTATTCACTGAGGTGTGTGCTTGGGTGTGGGTCCTACATAACATTCCAGGGTGTTTAGACCAGTTGAGATACCTTACACATACAGTAGCTGCACAGATGCTTGCGACTGGAAACCTTAGCTTCCAGGAGAGCCTGATCTACGGTGAATGTAATGTGGACTCTATTTATTTAAATAATGTTAGGTATTTGTGAAGACCAAGGTGTATTTCAGAGTTTGGTGAGTCGGTCTCATCACTTGAGAAGTTGTTTACATTCATTCATGGGATGGTCTAAGTAAGTTTCTTTGGGTGTAACCACTGATCATGCTTGGCTGTTTGCCTAGCTAAGGTCTTGTCTTCCTGAGAATAGTATCCCTCTGGGTAAGAGTTGCTTTAGTTTATATATCACAGTCACCTGCCTACTTTTTTAAAATTATGGCCTGGTGAGTCTTGTTAGGAAACCAAATCACAGCCCAGTCACGTCTAATCAGCGTCTCTGCTGGTCGAGGGTGGCATCTGCCACTGCCCTGAGAGTGGTGCCTTCAGGACTCTACCTTAGAAATCAGTTTTCCTCTGTGCATTGCAGTCCAGGAAACCTGTTGTGCTTCTTCAAAGAGCCACTGCACTTTCATTAGAAATCCCAGACAAACCTGGGAACTTCGTATCATAACCACCCTGTTGCCGTTCTCTGCTATGGAGTCTCTTTTAAAATATATGTATTTATTTATTTTTTAGTTGTGGTTGACAAAAAACCTTTATTTTATTTATTTATTTTTATATGGTGCTGAGGATTGAACCCAGGGCCTCACACATGCTAGGCAAGCACTCTAATGCTAAGCTACAACCGCAGCCCCTTGAGTCTCTCTTACCATCTTGTTTTTAAGTTAATTCTTTCTTTTTTTAAATTTCCAGCCTAAGGGCCTATTCCCTTTTGTCATATTAAGATGATAAAAGTTTTAGAAATCATTAACTGGTTTAAGTCATGAAAAGATTTGAGATAAGGTTTGAAAAATAATTCTTATTTTTTACTTAACTGATTTAATCTTGTTATATTATCTACTATTGTACAAGAGGGCAAAGTAAGCCTGAAACTAAGAAGTTGTGAAATATTTTCAGAATTCCTCTTAATATTTAAGGAAACTATGTGCCTCAAAGGAATGTCTGGTAGTATTCTAATTTCGTTGGCCCTACAAGGTGTGAGTATCTTAATTGAGATGCCAAAATAACAAAGCCAAATTGTATTTGATGAGATATACTAGTCACTTATTTGAATTTATCAGTTTTAAACTGCTTTCAACATCATTTATTAGCAACTTAGCAATTTTAGGAGATGCAAAGGAATTATTCATAGTCGTTTGATGCAGATGAGAAACACAGAATGTGTCACTCTCTTAGCATTTGGGCATAACTGTGACGTCTCAGTACCATCCAAGACCCTCATTGTCTCCGACAGCAGCACTGCATGCATGAGAACCACTCTTGGTCCTCCTCTCCCATCCACTGCCTGGGCAAACCCGGGTCTGCTTCCACCCCTGGATTTGTTCAGTGTGGACATTACATGTGGATGGAATCATGCAACATGTGGCCTGTGTGTCTGGCTTCTTTGATTTAGCAGAATGTTTGCAAGTTCATCCATACTATAGTATTCCTTTTTATGACCACATAGCATTCCCCTATGTGGATATACCACATTTTATGTATCCATTTTTGAGTGGGGTCTGGGGGGCATTTGGGTTGTTCCTTATTCTTGCCTGTTAGGGATGGTCCTGCTGTGAACCTCAAGACCCTAGGCAAGAAAAAAGAAGTGGCATTCGTGTTGCAAAGGTTCTATTTGTGTGTAGATTGGTCTGTGTATAGGAAAACCAGAGGGATCCCCTAAAAATATGTCAACAACAATACTAGTGAGTTTGTAGGATGTAAGATCAATATAAAAAATGAATTGTATTTTATATACTAACAATGTTATTAACTAACAATGATACTAACAATGATATTAAGATGGCTACAGAGGGGCTGGAATCATGGCTCAGTGGTAGAGTACTTGCCTAGCACACGTGAGGCACAGGGTTCAAACCTCGGCACCACATAAAAATGAAATAAAGATATTGTGTCCACCTACAAGTAAAAAATAAATATTTTTTTAAAAAAAAGATGGCCACAGAGCTCCCCAAATTGATCCATAGATTCTACACGGTGCCTGTTAAAATCCTAGCTATCTTCTTTCCAGAATCTACAAGCTGATCCATTGGTTTTACCACATGCAGATATAGGAGAGACCATTGATAGCTCAAACAATCCAGAAAAGGAATAAAGTTGGAAGACTCATGCTTCCAATTTCAAAATCTACAAAGCCAGTCAAGACAGTATGGTACTGCATAAAGAAAGACACAGATGGATGGATAGAGTTGAGAGGCCATAAGGAAAGCTTTTTGTTTGTTTGTTTTTTTGTAGTCAGCTGGCTTTGACAAAGATGTCAAAGCATTCTTTGGGAAAAGGAACAAACTGTAAATAAATAAAAAAAAAAAAGATGCTGTGCAAGAAATGAAGTTGAATTCCTTCCTTCCATCATAAACAAAATAGAGTAGATCACAGACCTAAATGTAAACATTAAAATTGTAGTATTTTAAGTTTCTCAGTCTTCAGAAATTATTCTGAGTTTTCCCTTTCATTCTTCTCAGTTCGGAATGAATAAGCAACCAATAAAAGGCTTTTAGGAATCTAAATATAGAGCTTTACAAGGTGGCTGGGCCCCATGGCTTAGTGGTAGAGTGCCTGCTTCACGCATTGAGAGACACTGGGCTCTATCCTCAGCACCACATCAAAATAAATAAAATAAACCTAGAGCTTTACAGCTCAAACCTAAGACATCAGTAATCTTTTAAATGATTTTCAACTAAATGTACATATGTAACAGTACTTTGAGTATCTTAGCATCTGTCTAGATATGTCTGTGATAATGAGCACTACATTTCAATGGGTCTCTGAGCCATGTACACAGAATCACTCTCAAGATTTTCCTAAAGGGTGGTAAGAAGCAAAGCATAATAAATAGCATTGCAGAAGTTGAGAGCCTCAGCCCTGAAATATGTTCAGCAGGCTTAAAAAAGACAGTAACCAGGGCTTGGGTTGTGACTCAGTGGTAGAGAGCTCGCCTAGCATGAACGAGGTACCAGATTTGATCCTCAGCACCACATAAATGAAAAATAGAGATATTTTGTCTACCTAAAACTTAAGAATAAATATTTTAAAAGGACAGTAATCAGAGTGCTGGGTTAGAAAAGTAGACACTTCAGAGCCCCAGCATCTTTGTCTAAAAGTGGTCTGAATGGAGTGATTGTAATCCTGTGTCTTTGTTTGGGGAAATACTTGTTGTTCATGTAGATTTATTGCATTTGGAAAAGCCAAATTTTTCTTCTCTAATAATTTCTGAAAAAGGATGCCCCAAATTAAATGGTATATCATGATTCATTACAAGCAATAACTTGAGTAGGTCACAGTCCACCCCCTTGCTTCCTGGCCACCATGAGATGACTGCCTTCCTCCTTCGTTCCTCTGCCATTAAATTCTGCCTTATTCAGACCCAGAGCCAAGGAGTAGCTGACCACCGACAGAAAGTCTGAAACTATGAGCCCCACAGAAACTTTCTCTCCTCCAAGTTGTTCTTGTCAGGCATTTGTTCACAGTGACGAAAAGCTGACTAAGGCAGCCCATACACGTAGGTTCAGAAGATCTTTGATAGGGTGTCTCTGCCGTGAGCCAGGAGGCCCCCCTACTGTACCTCCAACACAGCTGAGGAGCATCTCAGCCCACCTAGCTGCTGCCTGCAGTGATATAAATTACTCTTCAAAGACAAATTATTCATTAAATCCAAAATATTTTATTATACTAATATTTAATCTCAAAACTTAAATATGGAAGCATCAGCAAATTTCATGTGAATAATAGAACTTGACAGTTTTTTAATAAGGAAACAGGTGTCAAAGTTGGTTTATCACCTGGCAAATGGTTACATAACTACCAAACCCTAACAACACAATTTAGGGCATCCTAACAACTTTGTGCCTAAACTTCTCTCTTGATTGTGATAACTGTTCACGTTGCTGCTTCCCCACGTCACCATCCATGCATAATCCCTGTCTGAGCTCCTGAATGGCTACAGAAGCACCAAGGGAAGAAGAGGTTCTACAGTAGTTCATTGCTGCACATTCTTTCCATATTCATAGGGCAGTCAAGCTCCTATGTTCTGTGAACACATTAAGTAAATCACTTGCATCTCATGTGTTTTTGTATATTGCATGAAATATGCATGACCCAGCTTTTCTACAGTCCCGATGATTATCCCTTTTGATGCCTCTGATGTAAATAAGCACCTCCTGGTAGCTGTCTTTCCAAAGCTCCCCAAAGGAGAGTGTGTTCTATGTTGCAGGTGATACCAAGGTATGCCCAGAACTCACCACATCTCTAATGTCTGTTCCTGGGCCTCACAGTACATAATTTTTCAAGATAGGCTGTCTTCTAGCTGATGGGCATGTCGACTAGGTTCCCATTGGTGTCTTCCTCAGCTGTGCTCTCCACTGTGACTGTGAAGATGGTGACCCTGCTTCCTGGTGTTATGCCTGTCTCTTTCCGAACAGGCAGAAGTTGCATTCATGCCATATAACAGATCTGGGAAGCAGAACCTAGAGCTCTTCATTTAGCTAGAGCCCTGCCCACTGTTGCAGGTGGAGCACCTCTCCTCCCACGGTCAGCATCAACACAGCGAGAAGAACAGCATGCAGGTACCTGGTGCATCAGCAAAACATCCTGGTTGCACAGTTAGCTCTCTGAGAACAGGCAGGTGCAGACCAAGATCCAGAGCTGAGGCCTTCCTTATGCAGTGCCGTGTTTTTGTCCTAGGAACTCTCACCCAGAATGAGATGACATTCAGGCGGCTCCATCTGGGCACTGTCTCCTATGGAGCTGACACAATGGATGAGATCCAGACCCACGTCCTGAGCTCCTACGCACAGGTACGTGATTCATTTCTCCAGGAGCTATTCTCTAGGGAGGAGCTAAGACCCTGTTGAGCTACACTGAGCCTGTGTTATATCTCTGATTGTTATATCTTATTACAGTATCACTTAAATCATTAATTCTAATATTTCAATCCAGAAGTAGTTTTCAGTAAGCATTTCTATATCAATGTAGTCACAAAAGGGATAGAGGGCCTAAATCAATTACTTATATTTTTTCTTAGTGAATTATTTGTTAAAAAAGGTAATTCAATAAGCAGAATTTTGAAGAATACTCACTAGATAACTGTCTTTAGTATGTTTCTTAACGGTCCCTTTGTTTTTCTACATAATAAATGAAACTTGAGCTCAAAATTTTAAAGAAATTGTTTTTTCATTAAACAAAAATAAAGTATAGTTCTATGAGTCCTCATATACCTGTCATTTGACACTCAACAATTTTCAGTACCTAAAGGATTCTATAGTTATTCTTTCTCATCATGTTTTGAAGTGATGCTCAAAAATCATACTATTATCTGAAAATTATTTATTACATGTCTATAATAGACAAAGATTTGGGGTTTGGTAAGATTTACAACCTCCCAAGAGTTCTCTGAGGTGTCGGCAGGAATTGTGTGTGCTTTTTTTGTTTTTTGTTTTTTTCTGTACAGGAGATTGAACCCAGAGGCACTTAACCACAGAGCCACATCCCCGGCCCCCTTTTTAAATTTTATTTCTATTTATTTATTTATTTATTTATTTTGAGATAGGGTCTCGCTAAGTTGCCGAGACTGACTTTGAACTCGCAATCCTCCTGCCTCAGCCTCCTGAGCCGCTGGGATTACAGGCCTGTGCCACCACTCCTGGCTAGGAATTATGTGCTTTGAATGTGAGGATGACCTCTGTGATCTATTCCTGGGTCTGGCTGCTTCTCACAGTATGTGTTTCTAACATTAAACTGTGTGTAGATCAAATGGAAGGTTCTCACAGCCCTGGCCCCAAGTAGTATTTGAATCTCATTCATTTGGATTTTTTTCTACCTGTCATAATTTTGAAGTCACTGATTCAGTATAATTAAACCTAGCAGTTCAGGGCCATGTATTTAACCTGCCAGGTACAAAACTGTGGTCTGTTACGAATTTCCCCTTCTTAGGTCATTTCTCTGCCTGTTTGTTGGTTTGCTCTGAATGCAGTAATCATATCACCTTGAGTCCAGACCTTGGGTTTCAAGAAGTGCATAGCTTAGCTGGGTGGTCAGAGCTCAGGTCTTGTTGGCCAAACTTGTGACCCTGGCCTAGAGCCAGGGAACGTCTCACATGTACTCATTCTCTCCAGAAGGCTTGGCGCAAACTAGGCTGAATTGCACTTTGCCTTTGCAGTTCTCCACTGTGACAGGTCAGAATCCCATTGCCGGTAGTGGGTACTACTATTTGGAAACCTCTCCTCTGAGTTGCTACCAGTCGGCATGTATTATACCCTTGAGGGTTGCCACATAAAAAGACCTCATTTTCGTGTGTGTGTGTGTGTGTGTGTGTGTGTGTGTGTTCTTTGTATTTATTTATTCATTCATTCATTTGCAGTGCTAGGGATCAAACCCAGGCCCTCATGTATACTGGGCATGTGTTCTACCAGAGAGCCACATCCCTAGCCATAGATTATTCATTAATAGAAGAGAAATCTGAAACAAAGGAGTAAAGCTTCCCTTCTCTCCTAGAATTCTGTGTCTATATTGAAGTAGTGCCTGCGTACATCTGTTTTTCTAATCTATATTATCCATGAATATGGTTTTAGTGGTTCCAAATAAGTCATTTTAACAGCAAAAGTTAAAAGCAGAAAAGATCAAAAATGGTTACAAAGACAGATATTTAAAGTTTATACCTAAGAGGACTTTAAAGGTCATTTCTACTAAAAGCTATCTATCTGTACACAGTACTTTGTGTGTGAAGTTGATGTCATCCTTGTTTTGTGTTCTGCTTTGTTAGTGAGATGACAGTGGTCTAGTAGATCCACTGTAATGCAGCACAGATCTTTTATAACCTGGTTACATTCCCCTCTGGAAGCACTTGGTGATGGAGGGCATAGTCTTTAATGGAATTTGTGTGGAATTAGATTGTGTAGGCATCAGTAAGCATAATTCAGAAAAGGGGAGCGGCTGGACCTCTCTGCTGCAGGGGCAGTGGCATTGGGAACCCAGTGCAGGTGTGGGGCTGGCAGCTCTGGAGGGCAGTGAAGGGCAGTGCAGGCCGAGCACCAGGTAGACCCTCTCTAAGCAGTAGAAGACTCGAAGTTCAGTGGCTCTCTACACCCAGTCCAGTTTCTTAAGATTGTCATGAACTGTCTGAAGTTACTAGGAGAAATGAGTGCAGATCCTATTGGGGTCAGAACAGTGTTCTGCAACATGCTGCTCAGGCAGGAGGTGAATCACAGGAGTTGTCACTTGGGGTGACAGTTAACTCACACTGCTGGGTCTGATGAGAGCCAGACGTAGTCACTGCACACAGTGGGCAACTGCTTTGAGGTATGAGGGGTCATTTCCTCTGAAGGAACCCACAACTTCACACGACTGCATCTCATTACCATTAGATGCAAACCTGACGCGCCAGTTCGGAGACGTACAGCCAGGTATGCTTGTGGTATGCAGGGAGGAGTGTTACAAGCTCCATCCAACTCTCAGCTTTATACCAGTTTGTCCATAGCATTGTTTGAGAAAGCAGAAAGATGTTGTGGCCGTTGCCATTCCATTTAGTTGTCTAACTTGCTCTGTGTTCAGAAGCAAAGAACAGGAATTATTCAGGGTATAGCAAAGTCATGCCACAGATGAAGTGAGGTAAAGTAATAAGAAGTGGTCGGGTTTTAAGTTATAGCAACTATCTTGGTATGCTCAACAACCTAGAAATCCCAAAGCACTTTACATTCCTATGACAGAAAAGTAGCTCAGCTGTGTAGGACACAGACAACCACTCTTCTTACCCTAGCAATTTCTTTTAGCTTACAAAATAACAGGTGTCAATAATCCCTGTGTCAGCATCTAGTTTTCTTTTTGGCCCATAATTACGGAATATCCTTCATCTTAAAGGTTCATCCTCAAACCGGTGGAAACAACCCCAGTTCAACCCCACCGAGAAGAGCCCAGTCTTCAACTCCCAAAGTCAGGAAGAGTGTCAGCAGTCGAGTCCACGAGGCAGTGAAAGCCATCGCCCTATGCCACAACGTGACCCCCGTGTATGAGTCCCAGGCTGGTGTCACTGGGGAGACTGAGTCTGCCGAGGCAGACCAAGACTTCAGTGACGAGAACCGCACCTACCAGGCGTCCAGCCCGGACGAGGTGAGTTGCGCTCCTTAGAAACTCTTGCTTCAGGAAGTTTTTCATGGTGCAGAGCCCTCTGACCTCTGTGGGCTGGCTCTCTCTGGCATGGGGAGCAAGGACAGCGTCCCAGCCTCCATAACTGCTCCTTCTGCAAAGGTGAGAGCTGCCTGCCCGGTCTAGTGCATGCACTCCTCGGTCCTAAACTGTTCCTACCTCCCAAGGTAGCTGAGGATTAATTACAGGAAATAACATGAGAAAAACATGAGTTTTGAGTTTTATAAACTAACTTGTGACCAAGGCAGATCTACATAAAGCTTTTGAAACTTGGGACTGTTATACACTCTGTCATCCAGTTTTTTTCCTCATCTCCAAATGAATCATCAGACTTACATATTAAATGTCCAGATATTTTGTCAGAATTTAGATACAGTGTATCTATTTCAAAAGAGAACTCTGCTGGGCATGGTGGCTGACGCCTATAATTCAGTGATTCGGGAGACTGAGACAGGAGGATTGCATGTTCAAGACCAGCCTCCCAGCAACTTGACAGGACCTTGGATAGAAATAACAAGGACTGGGGATGTAGCTCAGTGACAAAACACCCCTGGATTTAATGCCCAGTATTAAAAAAGATAGAAAATTAGTATCTTAAATAATTTCAAAATTTAAGAGACATGGTAAAAATCTTAAATAAGGTAAATCAAACCTTTCTACCTTTACATCATTCTTAATAATTTTTAGAGTGGTAAAATTCATTACTAAATCTTTTTAATACCTCTGCAGTCTTAGCATATTTCATGTACAGCTTGGTATATACTCTGTGCCCTCGAGGAACTCGAGATAGAGTAGTCAGACCAGCTGTGGAATCAGGGTAAATAAACTGCTGCTTCAGGGACCTTGTCAAACTGGGTCACCTATGTGAGTAATCGGAGGGAAAATGCCTGTAATCAAAGTGAAAAGAGGAACTCAGACCCGGATGCTCAAGAGAGGGGGCTGTTGGTTCTGGCGAGCAGGTTTATTGCAGAGGAGAAGTCTCTGCTCTGTAAAGCATTTTAGTCCAGAAGCAAGGTGTGCCTCTCACCCACCCTCACAGCGCTGGGCTGTCAAGTGTGGAGGTATCACAGGTCTCACCAGTCCTTTTCTAGAGCATATCCAAGAAAAATGAGAACATGTGTACACCCAGCTACTTGAACACATGTGTTCGCAGAATTGTAGCCAACAGGTGGGAACAGCCCCAACTGTAGGTGGAGGGGCAGAAGGTGGTCTGCCCACACAGCAGAGGAGCAGCCAGTCCTGGAAAGAGTGCTGCAGCACGGAACCTGGGGAATGTACGTTCAGTCACAGGAGGCCACATGGCCTGCGATTCCATGTATACAAAACGTCAGAACAAGGAGGGTGCCGGGAAACAGCCAGGGAGTGATGGCAACAGGTCGGGACATCTTTTTAGGGAGAGAAAATGTTCTAAAACTGACGGTTGTGATGAGCGCACAGCTCTGTGCATGTACAGAACCCAATAAGTTTGAATGGTGCTGCGGTGTACAGACTGCAGCCTCACAAAGCCACAAAAGAGAAGCTTCAGAGTGAGTAGACAGGCCACACAGATAGGAGGAAAGGGCACTGACCCCAGGGCTGCTGCACAGCTAGCCAGCAGACCTGAAGGAGTGTGGGGCACAGGGCATCGAGGACAGAGAGGCTTGAGAGCACACAGGTCCCTGGCAGTTTACACTGCCGAGGAGAGCAGAACCTTGCCTAGAGGGGTGACAGCAGGTGAGCACAAGGAGGGTGGTACGTGTGCCACGGAGTGCATCACTTGACCCATATGTCTATTTTGCCAGTGACGGTCACACAGAAGATACAGCTTGAGAAACTTGTCAGGAAAGGGTCCTCATGAACACCCAGAACAAGTTCCCCACCCCAGGAAGATGGGAGTGAGCAGATATTTGTGCGCAGAGAATGGAGAGGGAGTCCCACTCCTTCCTGGTGCGGAGGGCCCCACCAGGGGTAGGACGTCACCCAGAATCAGGTCTCCCTTATCTCCTGCAGGCTCTGGAAACAGAAGGGTTCTACTTGTTTGGGTTAGAAGAAAACAGTGCCGTCATTTCCTTTCTCCACAAGGGCGCTGTGACTGTGTCTTTCCTGGGGCAGGATGGGGTTTCATGTCAGCAGAGTTCTCAATTCTGTCTGGATGCAAACAGGTGGGTGCCTAGGCTTTTCCCTTAGTAAGTCATCTTTTAACACATGCACACTGGCACCTGACTCCAGCAGCGCCAGTCATTCTTGAGAGGTGTGGGGCTGGCAGCTGTCCAGAAATGAGGAGAGCTGTGTCCTGCAGACCGTTCTCTGAGCTTGCCGTCAGGGTTGAAGACTGATGCTGATATGAGATAAATGGGTGGTCGTGAAGACGTGTCACCCTCTTCTGCTGTTGTAAGGTTCTCCAGTACTTCTGCAGGTAGTGGCTCTTGGTGGCTCCTCCTGAAGTTGGTCCTTGGGATGTAAGACATATGGCCCCAGTTGCCTTTTTCTGGCACATAATGATAAGGAGTCGTGAAATGAAAGCCTAAGTGTACCAGCAGATTTGTGATACTTTACAAAGCGAATGTCACTGCTGTCTTTGAAACAAGCCACAGCACTGGAAGTTCAACAGGAGCCGATTCCTGAAGTGTGGCAAGGCACATCCAAAGTTGAGAAGGCGTTTGTCCTCCTGGTACATAACGAAACTGACGAGGAACCGGGTCTTTCTTCTCAGAGGACACTGACACAATCTGCGATAACTGGAGTTTGTGGAACTGTTGGGATTTCCCAGAGGCTCCAGAGTGAACTCCTCCGTTGTGGAAAGAGGGGAAGCTGGGGTATGGAACTGAGCACCATTCCTTGCTCCTGCTTTCACTGCAGCGACTCTTCTCAGCCCGGCAGCTGATGGCCCAGCGTTCAGGTCCCCTCTGCCACAGTCCCACTTGTCTCCTGAGTCATGTCGATCAGTGAATCCGCACTGTCTCTGGTAGCTGTTTCAGTACAACTTGTGGGATCGTGTGTGTGTCAAGGTCTGTTGTTCAGGGGTAGGGAACTTAGGAGAACACCATGTCTCCACAACCAGGAGCAGAGTGGGGACCCAGAACTGACAGGCTGGGTGGGTAAACATACAGGACTCACCAAGTGCCATCTTCTTGGCTGAGGGCCACCAGGTGCCACCTTCTTGGCAAAGACTTTGAGACAGAAGTTATAACTGCCTTGTGAAGGGAAGAAAGCCTTTTCCTGTGAAGACAGGGCTGAGTGCTTTCACTGCAGCGACTCTTCTCTGTATGTGCTGTTGCCGAGCGACTAGAGGTTCTCACTCGCATGATCCCACGTTGGCAAAAAGCTACTTCCTGGCTGTAAGCATCGGGCACTGGGGCCGGAGACCTTCCAAGGAATATGTCATTGAAGATTTTAAAATACTGCACTGCGGGGGCTGGGGTTGTGGCTCAGCGGTAATGTACTCGCCTAGCACGTGCGAGGTGCTGGGTTCAAGCCTCAGCACCACATAAAAATAAATAAATAAAACAAAGGTATTGTGTCCAACTACAACTTAAAAAAAAAAAAAAAAAACTGCACTGTGTGTTTACCTTATTTCCTGCCACAAGTACAAATTTTGTTAAAAGTACGTGGGACTTTTTTCTAAGTTTTTACATATCGTAATACCTTTTAAACCTTAACCTAGGAATTTGCAATAGAGGTTTCATTGATTCAGAAATTACTAAGAATTTAGAGAAGTTATAACATGGAAATTATTAATCTTATATGTAACTTTTTTGACCTGTTTGGAAATTGGACAGTTATTGAAAGTTGCAGAACATTAAGTAATTTTTTTAAATCCCTGATATATATTTTAAATCTGAAAATGAAAACAGTAAACTTCATCATAATTTTTAAAGAGCTGTATTGATGCAATGTTTGCAAATCCCCAAAGCCTCAGGAAAATAATCTAAATGGTTCATTATTTAGCTTATTGAACTTTGCTGCAGTTAGGTTGACGGATGATAGCAATGTTTCCCAATCACCCAAGTACCGTTTTAAAAGCATTTTTTATTGAATAAAGTGCTTAGGATATTGCACCCTGGAGCTTTATTTAGGGAAATGGTTCGATTGATGTTTTCTGTTTAACCTCAGCTTTGACCTATCACAACATATATGGTTAATAAGCTGCAGCATCATTTAAGAGACCTGACTAGTTCCATGCATTCCTTATCAACGCCACACTCTTACAGCCCTCTTGGTTATGGTGCCAGTGTCATCTCATCCAGAGAAAGAGTGTCATTTGTTAGGCAGAATGCCCTGGTGTTTGAGTCTCTGGCTGCCACCGTTGGCTGTTCTTCACAGTGTATGCAGCCTTGCTTCCCATTTTCCTAGAAGCAGAAAGGATCTTTTATCTTACCTACACATGCACACAGATGAATTTTTATTAAACAAATAATGGAATTCTGGAGGAATTCATCCTAAGTGCAAAGGTCCTTGCTTGCAGTGGTGTGAGTACCGGGACGCTGGAGGTGTGCAGAGAGTGGCACTGGTGTCTGTGTGGACAGCCTTGTGGTGTTCAGGACGGGAGGCTGCTTATGCCCTGCCCATTGTTTCTTATGATAAGGGATCAATATTTCATTTTCTCTAGGAGAGCAGAAGGTTCTGCTTCCTGTCGTTTGTCTCTCTCCAGGCTCAGCATAGCCCCAGCCGAGAGATGTCAAGTGCTCCCTGGAAATTCCTTCCTGATTTACAGCCCGTCCCTGTGGTTGGCACACCCATCCCGTGCAGTTGCAGTAAGCCTGTGTGGAGTACATACATGTCTTATGTGATCATGAAGGACTTTAGCTCAGGTCCTCCAAGGATCGGGGCCTAGTAGGACAGGCCTCAGAGACTCTGCTGTTCTGGTCCAAGCAGGTTGGCTGTGGATTTTAATGTCCGCCTGGCTCTATAGCACCCTTTCCCCACTGTGGCTACATGTCCTCCCAGCAGTAAGTTCTGCGTTTAAATATCATGCCAAAATGTGG